CAGTTCGCTTGTGTATAGTCAATTTATTTTTCCTAACAAAGCCGGATGTGAATTTTGAGGACTCCAGGGTTTGTTTTGTTTACTGGTTGCTGTTTGCATAAGGTACTTGGATTTGTGACACTTATTCCCGATTTGTTTTCCAATGACGATAAACACTGTCGACTTTAACTTTTGGCCAGCGGCGTCTTGTTTATAATTGAGCCGTTCGAATCGTAAACAGGAGTGTGATATCACTCCGTGCTAGTTTGTCGTTCGGTCCTTTAATTGGACTTCGCTAACCGGTCTCCTATATGACAATGAACTTTGATTCTGGATGGTGAGTGGATATGCAGCACTGATGAGTTCTCACTGAAGCGAAAAACGAATCTCGTTCTTCCCAGTGTATGGTTGTTCGGACTAACTGAGAGTCGATGGTACACGTAGATGATGTCTGTAAGATAGTCAATCAGCACCTATCAATATCGAAGTAGTGATCATGGCGAATGCAATGGTCTGCTGTATAACGAGTGCACCTGGTAACGCTAATATTTTTTGCGCGCGCCATAAATACACACGTAAGCAAAAATTTGAGGAAAACGAAGTCAAAGAGCCCGCTCATAAAACCTCTGCGATTCTCTTCTAACAGAGCAGAATAAATAAAGCTTCCTTCAGAGAGTTTTTAAAATAACTAAAGTGCTCCGGGTGCTCCAGTTTAATTCACTCAGTCGTCAATGTAGCCTGGGTCCTAGCCGCTGAATGGTCTTCAACTTAAGTGTACCCTACGTTTTGTGCTGTTAGATTCTCCAATTATTGAGACGCTAGTCGGATCCGTTTGCCATGGATCAATAAAATTCAGACTTAACAGCAGATTCAGCAAAAGAAAAAGGGTTATCCAAATTCACCATTATGTAGATACTGGCAATTAGGTATTATCCATGACATCAAAATGCTATTAAAACGAATACGGGGACATCGAGCCTCCGCTCACTGCACCTTATCTGTCGTGATTTACCAATTTTCTGTCAAGTGTTTTCGCCTTGTGCTTGGATTGATTGACATCACGACCACTTTGCTTGAAGTCAGATCTGCAAAAGTTTGTCGAACGTTTCCTTCCGAAGCTTTCACTTCATTGATATTCATTTTTCTCTCCTTTTTCCGTTTGTCGTTCTGGATCCGCCAAAACCAGCTGCATAGTTGGGTGCAAAACAGTCCTAACCTGCAAGTGGTTGCCTGCTGTACACTTGAAGCAGCGTGCAAATATTACCCAAACGCGAAAAACTCAATTACCGGGCTTTGAAAAACATGTGTTCCCGATCAGTCGACCGCCTGTCTTAAATACAAAAATACTTTTAAGCAACCATTGACCGTACTTTTTTACACTGTTGTTTTTATTTCAGTCGGTCCTTTGATTCACCGGTTATCGCTACTTCTTGGTAAATACCAAATTGCATCCACAGTTACAGTCTAACGCCGGAAAATCGTTCAAGATTACCAGCCATAACGTTACATTTTAAAAATAATGGTTTTCCTTCATATGAAATATCCGATAGTACAGTCCGTTTTCGGAACTTGCCCTCCAGTCGACGAAAGACTGGCTGGACAACTTCCTAATTAGAAAAGTGGAGGGTTAGTGGGGATGGAATTCCGCAACAGGATCTCCTGGTCGATACGATATTGATCTGTACCATTTCACCGCCGCCATATGTCGTTGGGTTTTATTCAAGAAGACTTTCATTCAAAACTTAATTTTCATTTGGTTAGTCTTACTTGAGCACTCTTTGGTCGTAGCAATCGACTGAGCAGAAAGAACTTCATTTCTCGTAGCGTTATACAGTTTTCTGCTGTTGTCTGTCTATTACTCTGACCCTATCCGACTGAACAGGCAGTGGACGATACCTACGCACGGTGGCTAACAAGGCGGGGATCACATACACCATGGTGGACATGCGTGATGAGGTCCTGTTTCGGCAAGCTCTACAACCGAACACGCGTCTGGTCCTTTTGGAGACCCCTTCGAATCCACTGATGCGGTTAGTTGACATCGAACAAATTGTCCGTGTGACACGCGAATATAACAAAGATATTCTAGTGGCCGTGGATAATACGTTTATGACTCCATATTTTCAGGTAATTTCTCTCGCTGTATATGTTTGTGTTCGCCACATGCGGTTTGTCATCCGCACGTAATTGAATTTTCCGCTGCACTCAGGAGCACCAAAATTTAGATATGATTCCGCTCTCGAATGTGTTTCATCATTCAAAAATATAGTATTTCACAAATGCCGGCCTTGACTACCTGTTGCACGCGTACCGAAGTGGACATTATATGCACATATAATTTAAAAAATTCATACTAACTGCCGTATTATTATAGACTTTTTTCTTTTTCTAAAGATTATTGTACCGTGATTTGTTTCAAGTACACCGTCTGGATTCAGACGCGTGTGAAATGCAACAACATTGTTTTGATCATCCGCGAAAGGTCTATTTCTTTCTGCACTGCATATCCATGGGATTCAGTGGCGTTTTCACACGATCATTTCAAGTTTTAAAACGAATGCAGTGCGTATCGACAGCGTTACGTTGCAATAGGGCCTACACCTTTGTTCCTCTCTCTCTCTCTCTCTCTCTCTCTCTCTCTCCGCAATTCACACTCTTTCTGAGAAAGGCATTCAGCCAGAGCTTACCAATCTGTTAAGTAATTATTTCACCCATCGATCACAGTTTACCAAATATGAGGGTCATAACTCTTCACTTTTACC